AGTGATCTCTCATATTTCTCTACAACTATCGTTAGTTTCGAATCTTATTACATAATGAACGATTAAATTTTACTGCACTATTTTCAAGCTAAAGTTTAACTTACAGGATAAGCTCTTGCGGAAAGATCTTGAACTTTGTACCGCAGAAGAAAAGTAGGAGCCCCTGTATCGTCCACGATGGTAAACAATAACCCAACGCCCCAGTAAACAGCCATCATCAAGAACAGAGAAACTGCAATACAGAGAATCGAACACTATATTCGTGGTTACCAAACGTTCACTTGAGAACAAGCTGACTGTCCCTCATATGATGGTAAATGCTTCTCAAAATAAAATCTAAGCTAGCTATAGTAATATAGAAAGTTTTAATACTACAAAAAGTATTGAAACATTATTTTCCTTATAAAGCCGCCTAAATCGCTATACGTGTTTATGGAGTGAATCAAAATTTCACTATTTCAACGAATTTTCATTTAAGTAAGTAAGTATATAAGTGACTTTTCCAGAGAAGCGTACAGAGAAAATGAAGAACCTTACTGCTCTAATTTTTCACAGAACTCTTCCGTCTAGGGTCTCAATGATTCCTTTCTTCTACTGAAAAAGATACTAGTATACATATATATAAAACGGCCGAAGCGCTACTTTGGGCAGATAATCAGATTTGATGATAGATTGGTAATGATGAGTAATAAAATTGAACAGAGTGTACGCGCTCCCCAAGCTTGGTATTGCTGGCGCTCAAAAATATAACTAATAAAAAGGAAACAAACAAGATTAAAATAATTACAGTGATCTGCCAAAGTAGGGATAAACAGTTCTAAATTTTAAGTATCCCAGTTTTTGAGTTTTGACTTTTAGCTTTAGTTTTGCTCTGCCAATACTGTGAAATAATTATTGTTAATATTCAGACATCTTAAAGGTGGTTTTAAACGGGCAATTTTTATGGCTGTCAATTTGTTTCATCACGATCCCTACTATTAAGTACTACTGTACTTAATGATATTATCCCTGTTTAGTCTATAATTGTATTCCTATTTTTCCGAATATTCAAAGAGCTTGTTGTAAATATGATGATAAATATATAATGAAGTGTAATATGATAGATGTTTGGGGGGGGGGGGGTCTTAGGCTTTTTGTTTTTTATTTCACACGAGAGCCATCTGCGTTACCTGTCTCTAATTTAGCAGTGATAGACTAGAGGGAAAGCAGCTAATCAACACCACCTAGTCCAACTGTTGAGTTATTCTTTTACCAATGAATAGTGGGATTGACCATCACTTTATAACCCCTATGGCTGAAAGGGTAAGCATGTTCGGTGGGACGGGGATTCGAACCCGTGACCCTCATATTGCGAGTCGAGTGCCCTAACCACCAGGCGCCATGGTCTTAGGTATCTGGAACTATTGGAAAGACAGCTAGCTAGTCAATATCTTCACTTGTATAATACATCCACAGCCTAAAAGTACTAATCGAATATTTTCGACTATGGAACACGAACTAGCGACCATTGAATTCACGCTTTTAACTATACCATACCTGGCCCATGTATTTTTACTAACACAAACAATAAATACGAATTTCCATAAAATATTTCTTGGAATTAATTAATAGTGTTACAGTTGGTATGTAACACTGTGTGGCACTGGAAAGTACCATGTGTTTACTACTCTCTCTTTGGCCAATAGATAATTTATTTCGAAATCTGTTTACTTTCAATTAATCCTGAACAGAGAAAGTCACTCAAGTAAACACGTTTAACGCTTACTGATTGTTGTTCTAGTCAGGAACTGGTTCACTAATTGGCCACTAACCGTGTTATCTTGCAGGAAGGATAAATTATGATGTTCCTAAATGTACAGCTGCGATTCTTCAGCAAATTGGATAATGGCCTGGTGTCCCACCGCCCTTGCACTTCAGTCTTAGTGTACGAAGGTCATCTGATTGATGAGTGACATGCATAGGTGGCTCTACTGTAAGGCGAACTAGGCGACTGAAGACCACTATAAAGATGGAATTTTTTTTAGCCTAATACTGTAGTTCACCATTGCTATATTTATCTTAACCCTTTCACTGCATAATAGTGTAGAAATGTTCAGTGTCCAGCGTGCAAAATAATGGAAAAATTCAGTCCATGCCTTGAGTGAGGCTGGGAGCTGTGATTTTGGGTTTGTCTGAGCAAATTGGATTTTACAGGGAGTAGTTTACGTTAAATTTTGCACTTATTCAATGGGTGATAATAAAATAGAGAAAAGAACAAACCTTGAGAAAATGTGTCACGCCCATCACACTAAGGGAAATTCAGAATTTTAAAAAAATATTTCCTTATGAACTTAAAACGTATATAATATTAAAATATGGATTATTAGCTAACATTTTAAGCTATATTAATTGCTTTAACATAAATAAATAGCAGTTTAAAAAATTCTGAATACAAGACACATAAACCCTTGTGTCATTCAGAAAAGGATACCCGGGTAGATAGGGTTAACACAATGTTTTTAAAAGTGTGCATATTTTGTAAAAGATATACATTACAAGACTTAGTGCACTTAAATTAGATTGTTAGCCAATAGAAATCAAGATTTTTACTCAACTATAATTACAGTCTGTTAAGCAATAGTCCACTAATTACACATGATTATTTTTAAACTAATTTCTAAGGTAGCTAATATTTCATTGCTCAAGCCTAGGTAGCATACCCATTACTGTACCAGTACCCTGATGGATAGTAGCCTAGTCAAACAAAGATACATCAGTCTTATCAGGAAAAGATGCTTACTTGATAATTTTTATAGCTCTCAGTTTCGTTTGGTCACAGAACTATCAAATAAAAAATCAGACCCCTCCTGTCACAGCCTCTCTTTCAGGGTTTGTTAATAGTTCTCTCTTACGTTTAGTTATATATATATTACTTATAACCAATAGGAAGCAGAGGTTTTCGCCTATCAAACGACGTTTTCTATTTCTTTGTCCATTGAGTACATAATCATCAGTTTCAATCAGAGTACAAATTTGTTTCCCACAGGAAAAGCAACCAGAAGCTTGGATGAATTTGTAACGGTTCTTGGTATATATATAGGAGGGTGACAACGTGACGCAACAATGTGTGTAGGTAATGAGTAATTGAACTGCAGTCAGAGAGAGACGTATTGTTGAAGTTAATTTCGTTCGTTATAGTGTTTGTTATAGCGCGAATGTTGAAATCAAGTGTATCATAAAGTTGTATTCGGAAATAATAAACCAGTTTTATTTAAGAGAGGACTTGTGTCGCTAAAGTTTCGTCGGAACGAATTTACGGAAAATCAATTAACAAACGGAGACGTAACAGTATTAACGTCAACAGAATCTTGCTGATCTTTTGTAGACACTTCATCAGATGTATCTATCAGAGCATTATTATACTCACAGTGAACGGATGTGCACTGAGAATCTTCTCCCCGGCCAAACCATTTCTCACATCTTTATTTCATTCTGAATTGCACCTTCAGACTGATTTATTTTTCCCGCCTTTAAATATTTCAGCATTGAACCACGTAACTGTTCTTTGCATTCTTCCAAAGACGCCCGCTTATAACCATATTATTTTATTATTTGTCACTAACCACAGGTAATTCACTATTGAATGAGTGGCTTGAACATACAGATTCTCCATTTTTCTCCATTTGTCTGTATGTTCAAGCCACTCACAAATGGAGAATCTGTATGTTCAAGCCACTCACAAATGGAGAATCTGTATGTTCAAGCCACTCACAAATGGAGAATCTGTATGTTCAAGCCACTCACAAATGGAGAATCTGTATGTTCAAGCCACTACAAATGGAGAATCTTTGTCACATTTTGGCTTCTAATAAAAATCGGGACATTTTTATTTCATTTCTGCTACAAATAATTACTTGAACGAGTCTCAGACTGTTATAAAAGTTACTTATCTGCTTAGTAAATTCTTGCTGATCATAAAAATTACATTATGAATTATTATGGAAAAAATATTAAATCAAAATGTTGATTTTTATGTCGCTACAAATAAATGTGAATTTCACAGAACAATCAGTATGTTAAAAAAACGGCATTGGCGTCATTTCACTAACCCACTCCCGAATGATGTAATCAAATTCTTAAAATGAAATGTTATTTTGCAGTTAAATCTTATTTCTTACTTTGTCCTAGTTTTGTTGTATTTTTCTCGTTGATCTATTTTCTCACAGTGTATTGGCGACCAACAACAGTTTGGCTGAGTTAGTTATGAAGTCTTGCATTGAAATATTTGTAAAAACAAATCTCACGATCGGTTTTCGTGTTTCGATCTAAGTGCAAAGCTGCAAAATGAGCTGTCTGCACTCTTCTTAATGCAGGGGTCGAACATTAATTATAGCGTTATAAGCCGTCAAGTTCACTGCTGACACACTGGAGTTCACAATTCAAGTTTCTTCTTCTCGCTAATTTGACAGTAGTTTAACAGTGTCAATATTACACGTAAATTGAAGTTTAAGAAAACATTCGAACAATATGAAGTTTTGAAACAGTTATTTGTTGGATTTATTTATGTACAACATTTCTTCTCCAACAGTGAGATATGATCACGTACAACATTTAAGGTACAACTTTTTTTGTAGAGATGAAACGTTGTACAGAAATAAATCTATTATCTAACAAATAGCTGTTTATAAACTGATCACACAATACTCATAAAATACAATAATATAAATACTCAGTTTGAATGTTTTTATTAATTGTACATATTAGTTACTAACATTATTTTTTGTGTTATTAACCAGTTTTTTTTTATCAATATTTTAACATTAGCATGCGTTTTAATATCCATTAAATTTTTTGGCATTGTATTAGATAAGCTTGGTACTTGATAACTTGCCCCCCAGCGGCACAGCGGTATGTCAACCTAACTTACAACGCTAGAAACCGGTTTTCGATACCCGTGGGGGCAGAGCACTGATAGCCCATTGTGTAGCTTTGTGCTTAATTCCAAACAAACAAACAAACCATGATCATGCTTACCAAACATTACAAGAAGTTCGACGGAATAAGTAGCACGTTCAAAATAAACTTTTCAATAATAAATCCTTTGTTTGACATGCCTGACAAAGCTTAAAAATATTTCTTTGTACTGGTGAATTTTTGTTTAAAATATATAAATTATTTTTATCCCCTGTAAACTTGGAACGCAATATCTGATGCTTAATCCCTTAAAGTAACATACACCTAATTTTCAGTATTAATTTGAAAAGTATTTTTGGGGGTAAGTCCCTGTAACCTTCCTCTTCTTCATTACTAGACAGTGTGGTTTGATCTCCCTGCTGCTTGGAGCCTTGCACTTACTAAGGCTGGCACTGGTTAAGAACTCCTAACAACAAATATACTAAAACTTAAACGATTACTTACGTGGTGTCTTACAAACGTATTGTTGCTTACAGTATACTCTATGAAACATGGACGTCAGCAGGTGAACACCTCCAAACGAGATGGGAAAGTCTAAATAATTTCTTCAATAATGACCCATTTGTGATGTCAGTATGGGGTGAGAATTTTTTTTGGACTCAAATTTTGTTTTCCCTGTACACAAGAAAATCATTTTAAAGCATCAACAGGGTTTACTTTGTATTCCAGGGCTCTGCTATTGTTTATATATATACATATATATATTTGATTATTATTTGATGATTTAATGAAGGCCCCTAATGATTTTTAACTCGTGAGTATAAACACCGACAAAAAACTGTAGTATGCCATTAAAGACGTTATTTCTAAAAAAAAATGCATCAAGATACTGACAACAGCCTTTTCTCGTGCGTCAGATAACGCTTATTCGCTGGTACTGCGTTTTCATGCGAAAAATTGACAGTACAGAACCGGCGGACAGCGTGAAGAGTATTTCAGTAACTTCGTAAAATTAAACTTAAAAGCAAGCAGAGAAGATATTCAAGAACTATTTGAACATTTGCGAAAGAAATAGAACAGTACATTTCTGATAGACGTGATGATATATGTTACTGATGGTAAAGATCAGGACGGGACAGAATGTAAGTATTGTTCCAGTGGAAAACAAGGTAGGTATGGCTTTTGTTGAAGAAGATAATTTTATATTCTGAGGAGACAAATGGATAATTGTCGAAGACGTATCGTTTCCAAAGTGTGTTCCATTATTAGTATGTTTACAAACAGAGTTAGTAACATTCGAGAATTCATTTGATGTGAATACTCACGTTAGTTTTGATTAGAAAGTTCAGGAGATGGGACATTACATCACACAAGATATCAGGAAACGACTATCTTACAGTTAGCAAGAATCTTAAAAGAAGGATTGATTGAAAACTATAAAACATTAATTAAGCAATATCATGACAAGATAGGTGAATTATTATTTTAATTAAAATATATGACATATAGTGTATCAATATCAGACAGAACTAGACAGAAACGAGGTTTAATAAATGCGGGTGGAAGCATTTTGAAATTCTTAATTGGAACCGCAACCACCGACGATTTACAAGAATTAAATGAGAAGGTAGAACGACAGAGACAGGTATCTAAGGAAATGATTCATTTAATAGGTGAACAGGTAACTATAATGAATTTATTAAATCAGACAATTGAAGTTCCTGACCAAGAAATTAGAAAATTATATAAAGCTTTAGTGAATATTACTAATGCATTGATACGCACTAGAATAAGACAAACTGAGTTACAAAAAGCAAGAATTGAAATGTTAGTTTTTAACACTAGGATCCAGAATAATCTACAACAGTTATATTTTACTGTATGGAGTAGCAGGACAGAGTTAGCTAAGCTAAGGTTTTGTGGTTCAAAGCAAGTTCTTGCCATGCCACCCTTTGATGTGATTGAATGACTTTAAAAGGCAACCTTTTGTGCAATTCATGCTTCTGTTTAGTTTTTCCTTGATGATTTTTCATCATTGTTGTACAGGGAGAGCCTGGACTCATCTGTGAATAATACAAAGATGTACTGGTCCATTATCCATTTGGTATGTTAACATACCTAATTACTTAAGACATTTGTTAACTTATGGTCAAAGGTTGGCATATGGCTGGTCTTCTGACTGTAAACTAGTATTGTTCTGATTGTTCCTTTTAAAACTTTAGCCCTGATTATCTTCCGAAGTTGTTCCTGGAATCTGGGTAGTCACTATCCTTTATTGTCTAGTAGTAACTATCAGATACTGGTCTAAACTGACTTTGTCACACACAGCCAATAACTTCCATGTTTTATTTTCTTCTTTTTTTGTGAGGCCTCCAGATAGGATTCTAGACTCTAATAATTACAATTTGGAAACATCAAGTGCATTTACCAGATGTTGGCAACTGTGACTCTTTCCACACTTTTGAATTCAGTGCCTATGCTTAGGTATAATTTGTGGCTGTTATCATACCCACTGTTGTACATGAAAACTATTTTTGGATAATACTGTTAACAAGTGAACAGAGTATGTCAGATCTGTCTTTTATAGTGCATATATCATAGCATTGATTTATACATGATTAGTATGCTGTATGATCAAGAACTTCGTTGGCTGTTGGTGTGGGCTGTTTAGTTAAACAGTAAAGTTGGTCAAAGATAGAGGTAGGCCATTAATTTGATTAACTGATTATCATGTAAAATACTCGATTAATTAAAATTATCATTAAATCAATATATGTCATGAAACTAGTGCTTTCGATTATTACTGTTTTTGATTATTCCAACTATCCAGTGACTGAAATGTTACTATTATGATATCGTAGTATAAGTTCTGGACGAGAAGCTGTTACCCATTTATTATCTATCTTGACTACAGCACTCGGGAATAGTCAGCTCCCACCTAAGGAGCAGTACGCTTGAACCACGTGACTTTAAATTCAAGTAACCCAAGGACTTTTTCATTGTATGTACACTCGCTGATTGGAGTTGATTGTTAAAAGCTTAGAAGTTACGATGGATTATAAGTAAGTATGTTTACCTTGTTATAAACTTGCATTAAAATGATATTATATTTAACATATTTAGTCACCCTCTTTTATATACCAGACTACCCTATATCTAGTAAATACTAGAGCATTCGCCAAGGTACAGGATAGTTCTAGAAAATAGGTGGCGCCACACCAGTCACGTGACCTGGATGACGCAACACAGTTTTTAATTGCTCTATACATTATGTATTATTTAAAAACAACATGTATTGTACTAAGTATTATATATTATATAATAACCAGGATTATATATTAACCAGAATTAAATATTTCAATAATAAGCTTTAGTACCTAATATGTCAAACGCACTTTCTACAAATAAATGCATCCGATTAAATTTATTATTTAAACCATTTAAAGCTTTGTGCTGTAAGTTGCGGTTTATGTTTTAGTGGAATGCTCCTCAAGAAACTATAAAACGAAATGTATTCCTACTGAACAGGAACAAGAATGTTCAGCTTATTATATACTATTCGTCCTATAAGGAAAATTGTAACAACTGGAAAAAAAACTAGACGTCATCAATAGAAAAGCAACTCCAATCAGTTGTTACGTCTCCGTTTGTTAATTAACTTTCCGTAATTTCGTTTCCGACGACACTTTAAACTGATACCTGTAGTAAACAAAAGTTCTATCCAAGTTACTCATTGAATAACAAAAGATAAGACGTAAAAATTAAATAGTAATAATTATATGCTCCACCCCCTATTCATCTGTGGTGGTAGTTGTTCTATGAGAAGAACGTCTTTAACTCTTCTCTCAGTGTACTTGGTAAGTATTTGTACAGAGAATGGTGGTTTCATATCAGGTGATATTTGTCCATGATTAGTTAAAAAATTATCCGCAACTGCGCTTCTTTTATGTTGTTCTTTATAAAGAGTGAATACGTTTTCCTACCCTTCTGTGTAGATTTCCCCAGTGTACGTACGAAGGTAAATGTTACATGTAAGTATTTCTCGAACCTCAAATGTGTAACAACATCACTTAAATTATTCATCGAACATCATATTTTTATATAAATAAGGCTGACGGCAGTGAAGTATGAATGAATAACAGAAAAGAAAAATAAACTGATTCAAAATATAAAAAGGCTTACCTAAATATTCGCTCCCTGCTACGTCCGTATGCCACTAGCGGAAAACGCATTATTTTCGTATTTTCTAAACGTTTTCGAACTACTTTTTTTTCTTTGTCTTTTTAGAATAAAGAGTACTATTTCTCAAATTTGTATGGTTCTAAAGGAAAAGGAATTTGCTGTGATTGACAAAGATAATAAAATTGGGATGCGGGAAAATGTTTGAGACACCATTCTGGCAAATGGAGTAACGAAGGTTTATAAACCCATCACAGGATATTACGAGTATCGCTTCTCGGCCTTTTGGCTAAGATCAAAGTGTAGTATCTGTTCTTATCAGCTTAATATCTGATACGGTTCCTATAG